GGGGTAGATGCGGCAGTAGACGGCAACCATGACAAGGCAGGGAGCGAAGAAGGAGGCGGCGCAGGAGGCCAGCACGTACCATGTCTCCTGGCTCAGCTGGCATTCCCATCCCCCCGGCTGGGCCCACAGGAGGGGTGGCAGTGCCACCAGGGTGGCTGCTGCCCAGACCACTCCGCTCATCCCCTTCACCCTCCTGGGGCTGCGGCGCAGGTTGAGCCGGGCTGCCCGGGTGATGGCCCAGTAGCGGTCGAGGCTGATGGCGCAGAGATGCCCGATGGAAGCCGTGCAGAGCAGCACATCCAGCGCCAGGTACAGGCTGCACCACAGGCCGCCAAAATACCAGTAGCCCATCACCTCGTTGGCCAGCGAGAAGGGCAGGACGAGGACGGCCACCAGGATGTCCGCTGAGGCAAGGGACACCAAGAAGAGGTTCTGCGGTGCCTGCAGGGCCCGGCTGGTGGAGATGGCCACCACCACCAGCGTGTTTCCCACCAGCGTGGCCAGCAGGACAGCCAGGGCAGCCAGCAGGATGAGCCCCGTGACCACGGGCGAGTGTGGGGTGCTGCTGGTGCTGCTGCTGTTACTGGAGGCGTTGGGGAGGGAGCCAGCTGGCTCCATGCTGGTCCAGCCCCTCAGGTGGATGAAGCCCCACAGGGCTGCCCCCCACCCCGTGCGCCCCGCTCACCGGCTCCTCTGCATCTCCTGGCACAGCCCCAGCATTGCTGAGTCCCCGGGGAGATATCGCGGCCACCACCACTCCCGAACTGGCCCGGTCTTGTGGCAAGGTGGAGGACCTCCCAGCCCAGTGGCCACCCAGCTGGGCATGCAGGGCAGCAGCAGTGCTGGGATCCCTGGAGTGACCCCCACAGCAGCCCTGCTGGCTCTGCTGGTCCCAGCTCTGGAGGAGGGCGGGAGGGAAGGAGGGAGGGAGGGACGGGTGATATCTCTGGCAGGAGCCCAAGTATCTGTGGGCAGTGGGAGAAGAGGTTCTTGCATTCACTTAAAGGGCTCCTGCCAGAGTCACCATAGCAGGTGCCTCCTGCCATGGGCTTTGGGGTAACTGGCAGGCCAGGGGCACTGCCTGGCCATACTGAGTCACCACCCCACTGACCCCCAGCCCAGCAGCACCACAGCACCTCACTGGCTGCCCTGTGCTGTGCCTGCTGCACCAACACTGCTGTGACACCGTGCGGTGCAGCACAGACCCTGCCAGTTCAGCCCTTTGGGAACAATGCTGCAAACTGCAGGTTCAGCTGCAGCATCATCAGCATGTGCTCCCCAGCCCCAGCAGTGCATGTCATTTGTTCCCAGCACCGGATACCCATACAGGGCCAGGGTGTGCAGTGATTGTGTAAGGACATGGGGACTTATGGTGGGTGTCTGGCACCCATGGCTCCATCAGGGTTTGCAGAGACAGGAGCCAAAGAGACACACACCTGGGGCATGGGCACTTGGTGTTTATTAGACACCAGCTCAACGGGGATGGCAGGAGCTAGGTGGGCTTGAAAGCAGCACCCTGGGCATGTGGTGCCAGCTAGAGCCGGGTGGCACCATGCAGGGGTGGGCGAGGGGAGCCCATCCGGATGGCAGGGCTGGGCACCTCCTCAGGGTAGGAGAGCGTGGGGTTGTCCAGCCCCAGCCTGGCCTTGTCGCAGGGAGGACCTTCACGTTCCTCCCAGCCCTCAGGGCTGCGGCAGCGGTCGGTGCAGCAGAGGGCGGCCCGGGTGATGACCTGGTCGAGGGGCTGCAGGGAGTGCATCCAGGCGGGGAGGAAGTCCCAAGTCTGCAGCCACTTGGGCAGGCGGCCGGGGCTGCGCGCCTGCAGCATGTTTACCAGCCCCACGAAGAAGAAGAGGCTGAGGAAAGGTGCGCCCACCCCCACCAGCACCTGCCAGCCTGCCATGGAGATGCCGAAGATGAGGGAGGGCAGCAGGAGGAAGCAGACGATGAGGTACAGCACAGCGAACCAGCGGTACTTGGCCGTGCGCTCGCCCAGTGCCTTGGCCATGCGGATGGGCAGGCGGGTGAAGGGCAGTGGGTACCACAGGAGGATGCCCGAGATGTTGAAGAAGAAGTGGCAGAGGGCAATCTGCAGGGAGGACAGTCCTGTTGGGCCAGGCTCGTAGGCTTCTTCCAGCTCTTGACTAGCCCAGGGCTCCCCCCTAGCCCAGCCGGGGCCCGGGGTTG